ACACACACACACACACACACAAACACACACACAGACAAACCCGTAACAATATGTGTTATGTACTGCTGTTACACAGCACAAAACGCATAATAAAGATATGCTTCAACTTAGTGAAACCTACTATTTGTCGTCTCGTGGCGTACTGACAATTTTTCGCTTTAACAAAAATAGTACTGCACTTTCACCTCTATGCAACAAAACACAGTGGATTTAGATAATGTTGTTTCAGAGTCGATGCTGGAAAAGACATCTCGTAACTTGGTAAAGATTGACTATTTTACTCGCTTTCTTCTTCCCTCCATATTGAATTTTTCATTCACGTAAAATCCTCCAAAACAAATGTGCATGCACGTAAAAAATCACTTTAAAATGCGGTCATACAATTGCTTGTCTCGCTTACCTCAGTTGTATATTCCGGTTTTGTCCAGAGCTCCTCACGAATTTCCGTCAGGATTTGACCAAGCCTGTTTTTTCCACGCCATTTTGCTGGACTCAGTGCATCCGGTTCATTAATGTCCAAACCTGACGAAGAGCCTAGTAGAAAGCGTACCGGCTGCCGGTACGAGGATGCGCTTTTTGCACAGTTCCCCCCGCACGTTTTTTTCGTCAGTGGTACGTTCTTCCTGGCAGAACTTCTAGCTAAAAGAATTGGGACTGGCCACCACGAATTTTAGAAATTATTACAATGACTCCCAATCCATACCCAGAAGATCCAGCACTCTAGCTGCTCTGTTGCAGAGTTACGTCAAATTTCACGCGTTCGTACGTGAGTGGCAAAGTGAATGCTTTCATCGCTCGCGCCTGCTCAAACACGGTCATGCGTAGCGCTCGGAAAGTTTCAGCACTCCAGCTGCCCTGGTTGCAGAGTTACGTCAAATTTCACGTGTTCGTACGTGGATGGCAACGTGAATGCTTTCTTCGCCCGCAGTCGCTTGAAAACGGCTCTGGGTAAAGCTCGAAAAGTTTCAGCACTCCAGCTCCTTTGATTGCAGAGTTACGTCAAATTTCACGTGTGTGCACGTGAAATGTGCGTGACACGTGAAAGTGACGTGTACTTCGTTTTTGCGTGCACTTGGTCAAACGTTACCGCCGGCTATACTCAGAAAGTCCAGGTCCTCTGGCTGGTTCAATTCTGAAGTTACAAAAGCGCGTGCACGAAATTTTCACGTGTTCGTACGTGAGATGCAGAACAGCTGGCAAGTAATTTACTTAGACGGGCACAACAGTAGGCGACAAGTAACGCTGCAAAATTGCAGTTCCCCGCAGCTTACCGGTCAGCTTAAATCTGGAGTTGGCATGATGCCAGTTTAAACTTTGACGTTTGCGTACGTGAGACCTCAAGGTGCGTAAAGGCTGAATTTATAATCTTTGGATTAGACGCTGCCAAGGAACATCTCGGTGAAGTTCTAGCCTCCTAGCATGGGCCGTTCCCGAAAACGCTTTCTCGCTAAAAAAACTTTCACGTGCCCCCACATGAGAACCACGTGAACCTGAGCGTCCATTCTAAGATACGAGCCCGCACGTATGTGTAGATTAAGTCACCAAATTTTCAACCTTGTAGCTTTTGTGGATCTCGAGATGAAAACTCGTTACAGACGAACACACAGACACACACACATAAACACATACATACATACACACACAGACACGCACACACACAGACAACCCCTCAACAATATGCTTTTTTGCATTGCATAGCTGCAAAGAACGCATAAAAATGCTTGAGTTCATAATCCAAATTTACAACTTTCTTCTGTTCCCAGTTAAGCAAAATTTTTGGAAACGTTCCAACAACTGGTAAAAAATGCTGTGGGCGGAAAAGTGTCAAAAACTAACCAATGCCCCATTCGACATCTGTTGGCGAACACTCCACCAGTGTACTACCATATGTGTAGAACAGTTTTTTTCTTAAGACAGGATTTTGCGTATATTTTGCCAGATTGCCTTTTCGCATCACATCACCATTAATTTTACTCCATCTAAATTAAAATGGCATGGGAAATAAAAAAAACCGGGCCAGAAAATCACGAAAGTCATATTATCGACAGTTTTGCCATTATTTATGTTAAGTTGGCAGCACTGTTCTCACTCTGAGGAGACTAGACAGGGTGTTAAGAGTTAATCCTCCATTCATGTTTTGAGTCAAAAAAGGCAGTTCTTGAAGATAACCTAGAAATGAGATCTACAGTCTACGGTGGCCAATAAGTTGGCATTACCAACGAATGCGAAAGTCTACTGCCCAGGCAAGTTTGTTTTTTATGCGTTTTGTGCTGTGTAACAGCAGTACAAAACGCATATTGTTACGGGTTTGTCT